TCTGCACATAGTTAACGTTGGAGGTCTCCAACCGAAACGACAAAGACTGGACCAGCTCATCATTTACGGCAGCAGTTACCTGCTCCATACTGTTTACTTGTAGCGAAAGATTCACGCGGCCTCCGGCTCGCTCGCGCTTCGAAGCGCCTCGAACGACGGGGGCGGTGCGGCGCGGGACGGCCTCTGCATGCGAGGCCCGCGGGAGGACTCGCTGCCCGAGGACTGCGCCAAGGGAGCGGGGTTCAAGCCCGTGGGGAAGCGCGTGGGCCTCGCGGGGCGAGCCTGCATGCGCGGGGGCGGCTGGGCCCGCGGCTCCGATTCGCTGTCGGTGTCCATGCGGTAAAACTGCGGGCGTTGCCGTGAGGCCTGTGGCTCCCGGAGCTGGAAGTGCTGCTCCGCCCCAAACTCCTGCATCCCATTCAAGGTCTGGATGTCGGGGGCCGAGCTGGGTCGGGAGGCGTCCGTGTCGGTTCCTCCGCCTCCACCCCAGCCCAAAAGGTGCTCTGCCGCCACCATGCCGCCGTGCAGTGCCCATGCGGTTCCCACGAGTGCGGCCGCCCCGCCTGCCACAGCCAAGCCCCCCGCCGCTGCTCCCATGCCCGCAGCGGTGCCCAATGCTGCCTCGCCAAACAGCGCAAGCGCGCCCGGACCCGCTGCGGCCTCTGCAGCACCTGCCGCTTCTGCAGCCCCCGCAGCCATTTCTGCGGTGGAAGCGAAGCCCTCGGTCGCCTCCGCCTCGGCCACCTGCTCGCTCATGAACTGCTCGATGTCTCGGGCTGCCGCCCAACTTGCTGGGCTCGCTGTCCCGCCCGCTCCAGAAGCGGCTCCACTTCACTTGGCCGGCCGATGATTTGGGGTGGAGCTACTTCGTCGGGCGGGGGCGCGAGGCCCTCGGGCGTGCGCGGAATGCGTAGGTTCCGGTCGATCCAGTTCCTTCCCCTGCGCGCTGCATTGTATAGGTCTTGTCCGTGCCCCGCAATGGCAGAGGCAGAGCCCGCCAGTCCAGCTGCAGCTCCCGCAGCGGCTTCAGCCTGCTGCATCCGGCTGAGGAAGCTTGGCGGTGCTGGGGGCTGAAACCCGTCGTTTCTTAGAGCCTGCCCGGGGTCCACGGCCCCAAAATCCGGTTCGCTGTCCATGTCAAAGGGCCGTGGGCGCAGGAAATCTCGGCGGGGGAAGGGCACGCCATCATACCCTTCATTGGCATCCTCGTAGGCTGCTGCAGGGTTCACGGTCGTGTGGGGCAGCGGGGCTGGCTCGGGCTCGGAGCTCTGGGGATAGTCGTCCAGCCAGAAGTGGCTGGAAGTCAGGATGCTGGCATTGCGGTTTGGGAGGTCGATGGGCAAGGGCTCGCCCTCAGCGATGTAGCCCAGGACCTGTGAGTATGACGGCCGTACGCGGAAGCCGTGCGCACGCCGCTCCTCCATGTCTTTACATGAGGCCGCCATAAACCGCAGAGTCGCTAGTGTTGCGCCCGGCAGCCACATCGCGGGCCACGCGACGCACGCCCGCCCGCTCGGCGGGGGCCCACCTCAACTGGGGGATCCTCCTGTTAACGGCGTCGACTGCACGCCCCACTTCATCCGTATAGGCCTCGCCTTCCTGGCGCTGCCGCCGGTTGGCCAGCCACTCGTTGAAGGCCCGAGCATCGATCAATTGCTGCTGCCGCTTGTAGAGCAGCGGCGTCAAGTTGTAGCTGGGATACTGCTTGTGAAACGCCCGCAGCATCGCGGCTTCATTGCGCCGCTCGGGGAAGGGCATCATCTCTTTTTACAAGTCCATTGTGTTTGCGAGCAGGAGCTCATGGAAGCGGTCGGCTCGCGAGAGCTGCCGGGCGCGGCGAGCCTCCGAGGGCGTCATACGCACGGGTTGCTGGGGCTCAGGCGGGGGCTCTTGTGCTCGCTCCTGGTGGGGCTCTTGCTGCGGCTCCGGTGTCGGCGGCTCAGCATGCTTCGGAAGCTCCGCCACGGCCACAGTCGGGGGCGGCTTTGGCTTGTTCTTCGAACCTGGCGGTCGCCCTCGCCGTTTGGGTTGGGGCGCTTCCTGAGGAGCCTCGGTCGGCGGCTCGGCCACCGCGGCAGGCTCGGCAGGCTCGGGAGGCTCGGCCACCACCGGCTGCGCGGGAGGCTCGGCCACGGCGGGCTCGGTGGCCACAGGAGCGGGTTCATCCTCAGCCATTTTCTTTTCCAATTATTTTTTTATCGTTCGGTGTCGAGGAAAACCACAAAGGAAATGCTGGTGCCTCGAGTGTTCACGATGTTGCCCTGGTAGTCGGTGAGCTTGAAGCGCAACTGACGCAGGGTTATGGGCCCGTGCAGCTGAACCCAGTGCCCCTCTGACGTCTCGGTCTCCATGACGTGGCCCACGCCTTTCGAAACGACGATCTTGCAGAGGATGTCGTGCCCCAACGGGCCCACCGTCGTCTCCCCGTTGGCCAGTGTTGGGCACCTGAGGTACAGTTCTGAGAACGGATTCATCGTCACAAAGACGAAGCGCTGCGCAGAGCCTGTGAGGTAGCTGGGGCCGAGGAGGTGGTTGATGGACAGGGGCTTGCTGGGCGAGGCGCCCGGCGGGTAGGGGGCCGTGCCTGGGAAGCGTTGCCGGAGCTCGGCATCGTTGAGGATGAGGCGCACGCCGTCGTAGGTCACGTCGAGCTCATTTGTCTCGGCGGTGTAGCTGGCGGAAGCGAAGTTGCTGCTGATCCACGCAGCCAATCGCGGCCCTGTGTACGCCCCCACCGGGAGCTCCGCGTAATGCAGGGTGCCGGCGACCGTGTCCTCCCAGTACAAGAACGTCCCGCGGTCCGTGCTCAAAAAGGCGTCAGCAACGCGGACCTTGTACACCGCAAGTTTGGCGCCGGATTGAATGTGCACACTCTCACCGATGTCGAAGGAGAAGCTGCTGTCCGTGCCCTCCGCGCGGAGGCGCGAGTCCACGTAGATACTCGTCATGCCCTTTTTAGAACGGCGCCTGAAAAACCGGGTGGGCCGCGCCGAGAACTCGCTGGCGTTGGAGCCGTCGGAGGTTTGCCGGGGCCTGTCTGGTGGGGGCCAGTGGCTGGGGTCGTAGATGCCCTGCGTGCTGGTGCAGCACCTTATGTTGCTGCACTCACTTTCGCACATCGGGCCTCCCCCCAACAACTTGGCCGCCATCTGGCTCAGGAGCGTCCCCATTTAGCAAGAACTTCCGGTCGAAGCGCACCCAAAACATGTCTTCCTTGGGCGCGCGGAGGTTAACGAACCAGAAGCTGTAGGGCTCCCTGGTGGCCTCCTCGTACATGGCGTAGAGGGTTTCTTTCGGGAGCATGGCGCTCAGCTCCTCCACCAAGGCATCCAGCTCCAGTTGGTTTCGCAACCGGAAGACGCAGTAGAACATCACGTTGACCCGCACGGCGGAGCTCATAAGACGCAGCTTCTGGGTCGAGACCCAGGTGTTGATGCAAAAATGTCTGCCCCTGATGAACAGAGTGTCCAAAACGCCATCTCCCGTCTTGCGGTGCACAGCTGGATTATCGGCATGATCATCCAAAACTACCAAGACCGAGTACAGTTTTTTGAGGCCCAGCTCCTTGCTCTTCTGGGTGATGCGCTTCTGGTCCGCGATGATCTTCCGCAGCGCCCCCTCGTCCCAATCCTCCCACCAGCACTGCTCCCGGTCCGTATTCACGCCCAGCTCGTCTCGGATGTAATCCTTGACAGGCTGCCAGGCAGAGTCGACCTCCACCGAGGGCGAGAAGATATAGATGCGCTCGAAGCAGCCCCGGTATTGCTCCAAAATCATGCTCACAAGGAGTACCGTCTTTCCGCTTGCAGATGGAGCGCACAAAATACCGTTGGCGGGGGGCTTGCAAACCACGGGGTCAGGCGGCTGCTTGACGGAGTACTCAGGCGTCTTGAAGAGACGCACCTTGCCCATTTAACCCAAGTGTTGCGCTCGCGGCGATCTCGTCGCACAGCGCAGGCGGGATGGAGTAGAGCTGGTCCCGCGAGTTGCTCCCCTGCCGCCCCTTGGTGGGCCCTCGCTGCGCGGCCTCGGGGTGCCGAGTTCCTTGGAAGGCCTCGCAGCGGTCGCCCTTGCGGCAGGGCCCCTGGGAGGGGGTCCAGGGCAAGTTGTGCCAGATGGCCGTGGGCTTCTTGTAGCGGAAGCCGTACTTGCAGTACGTGACCCGGTCCATGTGCAGCCCTTGCATGTAGGGGCGGGTTTTGAGGCGCCCGGTGCTCGGGTTTTCGATGGCCCACCACCGAGGCTTGAGGTAGTCTATGACCTCCAGGGTCTTGAGCACCAGGGCATCTCCGAGCGGCAGGTTGCGGGGGCGCTTCTTGAGTGCGATGCTGAACTCGGTGCAGCAGGGCGAGGCCCACACTGCGTCGAAGTGCCCGGGCTCGAAGGCCTTGTAGTCCCATTGCAGGATGTCGGAGCAGATGGTTGGGCTGGCTTTTGGGTTGCTGTCAAGACTCGTTACCTCCCAGCCACGGGCCGCGAAGGCACGTCCGACCGACCCCGTGCCGCTGAAGAGTTCCAGGAGTCTCATTTGTTGAAGGAAAAGAAAAGGCCCACAGGACCAGCAAGCACGCCAGGGCCACCACGCACTCCGCGGTGGCGACGGTGGCCGGCATTTTTTTCTTGTCGTGAAAAAAGAAGGAGCGATGGAGCCCAAAACGGTACTCAAGCTCGGTGAGCTTACGACCAACCAGCGTGGCGGCAAGTTCTTCCCGGTGTGCGCGGAGGCCTGGCGGTCCCACGAGTGGCTGCGCATCTTGTGGCACCCCAGCCCCTACGGCAGCGAGACGGAAGCCCGGCGACTCCCCCTGTGTCTCGAGCAGAACGAGGCCGCCAAGGCAGACCTGCAGGCGATCGAGAAGGACATCAAGGGCCAGCTGACCCAGCGATGCCTCCACGACTCTAAAATCTTCGGCCGCTACCTCACTGCGTCGGACGTGGAGGGTCGCTTCGTGTCCTGCCTCAAGACCTCCTCACGCGGGAACAGCTTCATCAAGCTCAAGGTCGATTTGTCCCGAGTCCACTTCTGGGACGCTGACCAGCAGCCGCTGGAGGATCCTGGCGACCTGGCCGGTCGGGAATGCAAGGTGCGCGCAGATTTGCGCCAGGTGTGGCTCATGTCGGGTCAGTGTGGGCTTCTGATGGAAGTGACGGACCTGCAGCTCAGAGAGGCCGAAGCCCCGGCCTTTCAGTGTCCGTTCTAGAGCACGCTCAGGAGCTCGCTGCTGGTGGCCCTGCTGCTCCCCACATAGAGGTGCTTGAGGGTGAAGTGTGGACTCTCGGTGTCGCATAGGAAAACCCGCCCTTCGAGCGTCAGGCCTTGACACGAGGCGTAGGTGATGGCGTGGCACAGCCGGGTGTGTTTCAGGAGGGCGGCGTGGGTGAAGGAGTCGCCGCCGTCCAAGACGATCTTCTCGGGACCCACTTCGGCCACATGCACGTAGATGCCTTTGGTCACGCGGCCGCCGACGCCGATGAGCTTCAGGCCGGGCCAGACCCGCATGGTCTGCGGCATGTTGGTGGTCGTCGGGCCAGTGCCGGTGTACTCGATCGTCACAGCTTCCGGCGGGGCCAGGCGACGGTTGTCCCGCGCATTGATCCTGATGCGGTGGGCGTGGGAGATGACCAGGCTGACATCGGGCTCGCCTTGCCGCGGAAACCTTTCCCGGGCCGCCCGGACCGCTTCCGGCAGGGACTGCTCCCGGGGCTCGTCGACCCGGAGCCACCGGAGGAAGTCGAAGATGCCCGGGTCGCTCCTCCTGTTCTCGGTGAGCTCGTGGTGCCAGCCGTCGGTGAGGTGCTTGAGCTCCCGCTGCACCGGGGTGCCTGCGAAGTTGTCCATGACGGCGGGGAACTGGCGGAAGTCGCCAAGCAGCAGGAACTTGACTTTGCGGTTCATGGAGACGCAGGCGATGTCGTTCCACGGCCCCGTGTCGAGCTGCGTAATCTCCTCCACCACCAGCCAGTCGATGTTGCAGTAGCCGTTCCGGACGGTGCTCCGCACCCAGTGGTCGGCCGTCTCCGCCTGCATGCCAAAGTTCTGCACGGAGGAGTGGGTCTTCGTGATGATCTTCACCTTGTACCCTTCTTCCCGGAGGGCGGTCACGATCTGGCGCGCCAGGTGGGTCTTCCCGGTGCCCGGGTAGCCGGTCAGCAGCAGGCTCCCGCCCTCGAGGCAGTGGAGCACAGGGTCCTCCGCGACCTTCCAGGTGTCAATGTTGCACATCCACTCCGCCTCGATTCGGGGGATCCGATACTGGCCTTCGAGGCCCTTGACCTCCTCGCATCGGTACACGGGCGTGCCGTCGGGATGCCTTTCGCGGACCAGGCTGTCCACAAGGCCCTGGAACTTTTTGGGCAGGTCCTGGAAGACGACGCAGTCCGTTTTGACGGCCTTCAGGTACCTCGACGGCACGGTTGCGAGTGCATCCCGGATTCTGGAGACGGCGACGTACTCCGAGGCCATCACGAAGTCGTGCACAGGCCGGCAGCTCCGGTTGGACAACAACTGGGTCACGTAGATGTGATCCCAGTGCATCCCGCCCGCGGCGTCCAGGAACAGCTCCCGGTGCTGGCACCCGGACCCGTCGAACTGGTGGTTGCTGGTGCGCATGGTGTAGATGAGGTTCATGTTGCGTGCCCAGAGCCCGATGAGGGCATTCACCGACAGCTTCGCGTAGTGCTCCTCTCCCTCCGGCCAAGCCGCCTCCATTTTCTGCAGGGCCTGAGCCACGGACTCCTGGTCCACGTGCGCCGTGGCGTCCAGGCTGTACACGAAGTCGCTCCATGTCGCAAGGCCCTTTTCCAGCATGTAGGCCACCGCAGGCTTGGCGTACCAGCCCTGGCCACGTAGGGGAGCTGCTTGAACGCCGCCCAACGCCCGTCCTCCCGGAGCCTCACGTAGGTCAGGTCCGCCAGGTGCCCTTCGCGGGCTTGCTCAACGTTGTCCTTGGGGCAGAAGATGGGCGCCGGGAACTTGGCATGGGCCAGACCGTTCTTGCGGCACCGCACCACGTCTATACCGTGGCAGATGTGGTCCGGCTTGTGGCTGTTGAGCTTGAAGACGAGCGGCGGGAGTCGAGGCGATTCCACGTACTGCTCGTAAGCCCGCCGGCTGAAGCGCGACTCCAGTGTCGTGGCGTGCGAGGACTCCAGGGCCGTTTTGTTCCGGTGGCACTCGAGGCACAGTGCCTGGAGGTTCTGGGCCTGTGCGGCGAAGGACTGGTGCACGGGGACGATGTGGTCCAACTCGCACGTGGTTGCGGTGATGGGGGCCGCGCAGAGCTTGCACTGGTGGTCCTGCTCCGCGAGCAGGGCTTGCCGAGATCCGGGCGGATCGCGGCGGGCCTTGAGAAGGTGAAGGAAGACCTCGCTCGCGGCGCCCGCCAGACGCTGCCCGCAATAGGGGAGCCCCAGCCGCCCCATCCAGGCCTGCAGCACATCCAGGTCTTCGTGGAAGGCGGAGATGACGCAGTCCTCGCCGCCCCGCACCCTCAGCCGCAGGCACCGCCACTCGCTCAGGCTTCGCATGACCACCTTCGGGCAGTGCCCCTCGGCCAGGAGCTCCCTCCGGACCTGCTCCAGGTCTTCAGTGTAGAAATGACCGCTGGCGACCTCGCCCTCCCACTCCCGCCAATCCTTGAACTCGGGCGTTTCGCCTGGCTTCCTCTCGCCCCGGTACCTGGCCCGCTCCCCGATCGGCTCGCACTTCGCGACGGTGCGGGCGGATTTGTAGAAGAAGGCGTGGCCGTTCCAGCTCGTGAAGGCCACGGCCCGCTGCTCCTTGACGGTAGGCTCGTACTTGTCCAGCAGGCGGCCCTGGCAGTCCACGTAGAACATCGGGGCCTGGCGCCAAAGGCAGAATTCCCGGATCTCTCGGGGGGTGATGCCCTGCTCCCGCCACGTTTTTTGGTGCAGATTGCGTCGAAGTCCGAAAGCACCTCCTGCAGCGGCAGCCGCATCAGCTCCGCGAGCTGCCGAGGGACGCAAAGCTTGTCCGGCCGCTGTTCGAAGGCGGACTCTAGGATTTCGTCGCCGCAGTACAGCTGGTAGGAGACGTCCCGCAGAGCCCCCAGGGGCTGATCCAAGGACGGTCTCCACCACCACCCGGTCGTCTACGACCTGCATGGCCTGCTGGCTGAAGGTCCACTCCCTCGTTGCGTCCAGGTAGTAGGTCTCGTCGGACAGCTCCCAAATAATGTCGTTCGGCTCGGGGTTCCCGAGCTGCGCCAGCGCGGACGCCTTGAGGTTCCGGGCCGCTTGGGCCGAGATCTGCCGGGGCAGTGTGACGTTGAGGTCCGTGACGGGCAGGCGCTTCGTGCGCTCGTAGGGCATGCCGCGGTTCCGGCCGTTTCGCCGGATGCCGCGGATGATGACGGGCACGTGCACCACCCAGTCCACCCACTTGTCCTTGAAGAAGCTCTTCCCGAGCTTGGTCAAGTGGTAGTTCCCGTTGGGCTGGAGGCTGCGGAGCAGCTTTTTGGCGCCCCCCCGGAGCATGATGTAATCGTTCGGGCCCTCGCGGATGAGGGGTTGGTTGCGGTCGTACTGCCGGCTGGGGGGCGGCCGGTCGATCAGTTGGTAGTAATACTGGCCGGCCCTCGTGAGCTCGCCGTTCGGGCGGCTGAGCATCGCGTAGCGGAGGTGGTGGTGTGTCAAAGGAAGGGTTTCTGAGCCTGCCGCCGAGGTCCTCGCCCTGACCCCGGCCTCGGCTGCAATTCTAATCGCTTCTCGTTGTTGAGCCCAGCTCATGACTTTTGAAAACCCCGGCCGGAAAAAAGGTCGTCGCCCGAGCGGGCCCCCCTTCGCCGGTCGAGTTTCCAGGAGTTCGCATCCATAGGTACTGGCGAGGGCATGAAAGAACGCCTTTTCGCCGGTCGACCTAAAAATCACTGCTTCAGGGCGAAACGTTGGCATTTTTTGTTTTGCATGTTCTTGCTGGATCTTCGCATGATTTTGGCATGACTTTGCGCATTTTTTGCTAGAGTGCTTGGGCCGCGCTCGCTCCTCGAAGCGCCAGCAATCGACAACATACCGTGCTAGTCCTAATCATATGCCAACTAAAGACCTTCCTTCAGCACCTGTGGTCGCAACAGCAGCAGGCAAAGCCAGCAACACTTCTAAGGAAGACAGCAGACACACACACAGGGTCCTGACACAGGGCCGAACGCCGGGCGCACAGAGGTTCAGGAGGTGTTTGGGAAGGTGTTTGGGGGGTTCTGAGGCTGCGAGGTCTGGAAGTGTTGTGCGTCGCTGTGCTGCAAGGCTTCAGGGTTTAGGGTTGGCAGGTGTGAGGCAGTGAGGTCGCCTGAGTGCCCGGGAATTTCGGGCCCCCCTCCTGTGATCAGGTGCTCCTCGTCTCCACTGCTGGCAGCCGGGCTCCGCAGAGGCTTCAGGGTCGGTAGGGTTTCGGGTTGCAGGCTATTGTGGGCTCCGATGCAGTGAGGTTTAGTTCGTTTGTGCTCAGGAGTGCCTTGCGTGCTGTCTGCCCTTCCTCCCCTCCCCGCTGTAACTCTAGAGTGCCCTGCGTCTCCCCCGCCCCTCCCGGGAACCCCGGGCCCTCTCCTGCGACCAGGTGCGCATCGTGACCCGGCTACTCTTCAACATCTTCGCGCAGCGTGGCAGGCGGGTTTCGGCAAGAGGGGTTCAGGGTTGTCTTGGCGCCTTTTTTTGCTTGTGTGAGCCTTGCGCCGCCCTCCCTCCCACCCCCTTCCCCCCGTAAGCTAAAGTGTGGTGCTCCTCCCCTGTTGTGGGCAGGTGTTCACTTCCTCGCGGCCATCTTCAAATTTTGGGAGGTCCAGCGCTCTGAGTGTGAACCAGACGTGTCTCTGTGGAGATTGCGACTTTTGGGCAATTTTTGAGGTTGGGAGGACCCGGGCAAGGCAAAAATGGCCAATTTGCTGGTCGGGGAGCTCGGCGTGAAAACGTGATTCTGGGAGGCCGGGAAGGCCAACGTGAAAAAGTGAAAACGTGAATCTGGGAGGCCGAGAAGGCCAACGTGAAAAAGTGAAAACGTGAATCTGGGAGGCCGGGAAGGCCAACGTGAAAACGTGAAAACGTGAATCTGGGAGGCCGGGAAGGCCAACGTGAAAACGTGAAAACGTGAATCTGGGAGGCCGGGAAGGCCAACGTGAAAACGTGAAAACGTGAATCTGGGAGGCCGGGAAGGCCAACGTGAAAACGTGAAAACGTGAATCTGGGAGGCCGGGAAGGCCAACGTGAAAACGTGAAAACGTGAATCTGGGAGGCCGGGAAGGCCAACGTGAAAACGTGAAAACGTGAATCTGGGAGGGCGGGAAGGCCAACGTGAAAACGTGAAAACGTGAATCTGGGAGGCTGGGAGGGCCAGCGTGAAAACGTGAATTCGTGAATTTGGGGCGATTTTGGGCGAAAAATGGCAAAAAATGGACAGGAAAGAGGCAAGCTTTACATTTTTTCCAATTTTTTCACGTCCGGGACGGGGAGGGGCAGGATTCACGTTTTTCACGTTCCTTTTTTTTCCACGGGGGGGGAGGGGGTTTTCAACGTCCCGGGGGGGAGGGCGGGATTTCACATTCACGTTTTCACGTCCCGGGGGGGAGGGCGGGAGGGATTCACACATTTTCACGTTTTCACGTCCGGGGGGGGAGGGGGGGATTCACATTCTCACGTTTTCACGTCCGGGACGGGGAGGGCAGGATTCACGTTTTCACGTTTTCACGTCCGGGACGGGGAGGGCAGGATTCACATTTTCACGTTTTCACGTCCGGGGGGGGAGGGCGGGATTCACATTTTCACGTTTTCACGTCCGGGGGGGGGGGAGGGCGGGATTCACACATTTTCACGTCCGGGAGAGGGGGCATTTGGAAGTCCGTGGGTCCATGAAGCCGTGTTTGTTTTTGTTCGCAAGGCCTGGGCGACTTGATTTCGAGGTGCGCCTACCGGGCGGGTGGAGGGGGTCTTTTTTCGCACGCTTGTGTGCTGGAGATCCTTAGGTTGCTTTGCGCGCTTGTGCGCGGGTCTGTCGGAGAGTCTTACGTTGTGCTTTGCAGGCTTGTGTGCACAGAAGCTTGAGCTTGCGTGTCATATCTGTTCTCGGCTTGAAGTCGAAGCAAGAAACGTGGGTGACATGGAGGCCTTCGCGTCCGGATCCCTTGTGATACATTCGGGTACCCAGAAGGTGCACAAAGTGGGAGATGACAACCGGTTGCTGTGCCAAGCCCAGGTTGCGGAGAATGCGCTGCAAGCCTTGGAGCCGGGTTTGGCCCGCAGGGGGCGTGAAACGTGAAACGTGGGGGCCCGCAAAGGGGCCTGAATTCGTGAATCTGGGAGGTCGGGGTCCGCAGGGGGCGTGAAATGTGAAACGTGGGGGGCCGCAGGGGGCGTGAAATGTGAAACGTGGGGGGGAGGGGGGGCGTGAAATGTGAAACGTGGGTTTTGGTGTTTTGTGGTGGGGGTTGCGCCTTTAAGGGGATCTCTGGCCAGGGTTTCACATTTCACGGGCCCTTCGGGGGGTCAGGGTTCCACATTTCACAGGCTCAGGGTTTGACATTTCACGGGCCTTCGGGGGGGCCAGGGTTCCACATTTCACGGGCCTTCGGGGGCGGCCAGGGTTGACATTTCACGGGCCTTCGGGGGGGGGGGGGGGGGCAGGTTTCACATTTCATGGGTTTTGGGGGAGTGTGCCGCCGCAAGGACCGATCCCTGCTGAGAACCCCGACCGAGGCATCTTGCAGCAGTTGCCTGTGCACTCCTGGCTGCATGTTGGTTAACTAAACACTTGGCCCGTGACTGAAATAGGGGGAGCTCGACCATTCGTTCATGCAGATTGCCTTTTGCTCGAGCCAGAGGACAGCTAGCACCAGCTAGGACCATTGCCGCCATGAGCAGGCCTCCAGCAACATCACGCAAGGTCAGGCGCGTGCTGGCGCTACTGGCGCTGTTATTGGCGTGTCAGCCAGAGCCTAAGACCGGCGCTTTGAACAGTGTCAGAGGTGTTCCCGAACAGCTTCAGGCTAGCAACGCAGACGGCGCGGGCTTTGCTTGGAGCGGGGGCCGTGCCCTTTCCAAGGTGGGATGTGATGTATGGCATGGAACGCCGAAGATCCGCAAGCCAGAGCGAGGTCGGTTCCTCCGGGAATATGGGCACAGAGCTTGCTGGTCGCACGCAGGGCCAAGGCGGGAAGCCGAGACCGAGAGGAAATTCAGTGTTAAGCGTATGTCCTGAAGAGCTGAGGCTGGCCGTGGTGAGGCCGAAGGCAATGAAGACGACAAGGCGAAAAGGGTTTGTCGTTTCGGCGTGGCGTTCCTTGTGCTGTTCTTACGGCGTTTCCTTCGCTCCTGCCCGAGTGTGTTCATTTTCTGAGCAGGGGCCTCTGCAACCTCGTGAAGACGAAGATAAGGCGAGGTTTGCTTGTCCTTTCGGCGTGTGTTCAGATTTCGCATCGAAAGCTGCTCGGCGGGAGCATCAGGCGAATTTCGAGGAGCTTGAGGGATTGATTGCGAGGGTCTCATGCTTGCATGAAACGGTCCTGCCAGCAGCACATGGGGGTCTTCTCGGGATCAGTCCATGTTGGGAGGCCCCCTCAAAAAAGGATGACGTAGGAGAAGCGATGGCCGAGGCACTTTCAGGGAGCCTGTTCTTGCCGGTAAGGGCTTCGCAGTTCTGTGTGGCTCCTGCAGGCCACAGCAAGCTTCGATCAGGCGGGCTCCGTGAAGGCTGACACTAGCATTTTTGAAGAATGTGCCCCTTGCTGCAGGTTTCGCGAAACAAGCCAGCGGATGAGGCGCTTTGCGGTGTCTCTTGCTTAAGTGGTTTTTGTCCTTTCGGTGTGGTGGGGCCTGGGAGCTCCAGACGAATTTCGATGAGCTTGAGGGGTTGCTTATGCAGGCTGCCTCAGCACAGACCGCTGACCCGGTTGAAGATGCCAAGCAGGCCCTCCGAGGGTGTTGTTGCTTGCTTGTCTTGCTTGTTGTGGGCCATTGTGGGCTGAGCCTGAGCGGGCTCTTTGAAGTTCGCAATTGCAGTGATTTCTTGGACGCAGGCTTCGGAGCCTTCGGAAAGTGAGGGCGAAGATAAGGCCAGGTTTGTTTTTTTGTCCATTCCGTTTTGGATTCATCGCTGCTCGGCGGGATGTCGAGGAGCAGGCCTCTGCGACCGACCCGGTCGAAGATGCCCCCAAGGCCTCCGAGCGTGTTGGCGCTTCTGCTGTTTGAAGATCCCATTGTGGCCTTTGCCCCTGGTGCAGGACGAGCAGCTGCAGAAGACTCTGGAGAACGAGGCTCCGGCCAAATCCAGAAAGCAGACATGTTCGGCAAACACGGCAGGAAAATCACGGGAAAGCAGCCCTGCACCCGGCAGGATTTGGACCAACGAGTCCGAAGACTGGCCATTGATGAGATGGAAACAGCACAGCAAGCTGTCAAAACCCTGACAGCGTTGTGGCTTGAAGAACTTAAAGCCGGACGCAGCGACGAGGCCAATGCGGCCGAAGCAAGACTCGATAAGGCCAAGAAGGAGCTCAGGGATGCGAAGTACAACGCCAAAGCAAGCGTCCAGGCAGGACGAGGGCAGGCCGGGGGGCTTCTGCGCTTCTGCGTGTGCAGTTGTTGCCTTTAGTTTACAGCACTCCCGCATGGTCAACGTTTGCTTTTTGGGGCTCTTCTCTCAGCAACCATCCCCTCGTCGTTAAGCTTCACTGTGTTGGCTTGCAGCACTTCGGGGAGTGGGAGGGGCTTTCGGAGCAGAGGGCTCTTTGGCTGCTGTAGGTTCAATCAAACCGGATGCTCTTCTTGTTGTGCCGATGCTTCAGAACGGGGTATCAGTCCGAGGCTCGAGGTGCGGGGGTCAGCCTGTTTTGTGCTTGCTTTGCGCTCTCCAGGTTGCGGTTGTTTTTGTTTGAGGCTCGACTTTCAGGTTAGTCCGTGAGGGGGAGTCAAGGGACCTGGGTTCTTAGTGCCTTTAGCACGCGGACCTTGCCGAGCAGTGGGGTTCCGGCAAGACGAGTGCGGGCCGGGGGCTTCTGCTTGGGTGGTTTGTAGCACTCCTGCCTGCCCGGGGCTCTTGGTCGTCGTGCGTTTTCGTGGGGTCCACCGTTGTTGCTTTTTGGGGTAATGCTTTCCTCTCAGCCCCTCGTCGTTATGGTGTCTGCGCTGTGTAGCAGAGGGCTCTTGGCAGCTTCAGGTTTCACACAAATCTGGTTGCAAAGAGGAGCATTCTTTTCGTTATATTGTCTTTCACTCTAAGGCGTGTCGTTGCTTGTGCTTGAGGGGCCAGCAAACGTATCTAATGTCAGTTAGCTGTGTCATTGCCTTCAGGTTGAAAGCACTTTGACAGACATGGCATTGGTGGTGAAAGCAGCGGTAAAGGAAGCAATGGTCACCGGGCTGACGGTCTCTCAGACTGCTCTGTGGAAAGACGCGTATGGACCCGACACCAAAGATCAAGAACTACGGGAACGCACTGGCGAGCCTGCCCTTGATGCCAAACAACTAAGCAGTCTTACCGGGCAGAGCACGGAGAAGGACCTGGTGAATTTCACTTTGCCCATCTTGAGATCGTTGTTCCCAGAGGACAAGATCGTCGACTCGCAAAATCGCCGTTGGCCTGGAAGCGGCTTGTCACCTGATTTGTTTCGATGTATGGTGTGCGATGGCAATGCATCTAGTGGCACGCCGTACAAGGAGATGCTCGATTGTGTGTCTGTCTTTGAAGCGAAGTTGGCGATCAAGGATGACAGCCGTGGTCAGCTGTATGAGTATCTATGTCGCCTTCCTTCCAAGCATGCAAGGGGCATGGTTTTCGATAAACGCGGCTTTGAGCTGTACCACGTGGCTGGGCAACCTGGGAGCCGCAAAGCGCTCTTAGAAAGGATTTGTGGGGCTTGGTCCGCTCCTGGAGGGAAAAAGCTCCTACGCGATTTTCTTTCTCAGTACAATCCATGGGAACGGTTGTTGCGCCAATCTCTGCGACAGGCTGGCGCTGTTCCCATTGCTTTCCTAGGCAGCGGAGCATTCGGACGTGTTTTGGAAGCGCAACGCAAGCGAGATGAGGAAATTGAACGGATTGCCATCAAGGCCGTTCTCGCAGTTGGCGTGCCAACCGGATTCAGCCCCGGAGCGGAGGTCGAAGTCATGAAGAGGGCCTGCGAGCAGGGCTGCCCAGTAGTGGCTCCTTCATCAGACTGCATCGAGGTCGTAGAAAGCGACAAGGTTCTGGGATGGTTTCACATCCTCGGTGATGTTGGTACGCCGGTACCAGTCGACACGGCCCAGGCGAAGTGGCGAGACCTTGTCGAAGCCTTGCGCCAACTACACTTGAAAGGCTTCGTCCATGGAGACCCACGCCTCGCAAACGTAGTTTTGCTCGGTGACAAATTTAAGTGGATCGATTTTCTGGGACAACCAGTTTTCACGAGGGCTTCGCAGGAGACGGACATTCAGATCCTCATGACTGATCTGGTTGGCCAAAAAGACCCGGTTCAGTTTGGCCAGCAGTTTGATGGATGGCCAAAAAATTCAGCCTTCATCGGTAATGTGCTGCAGCCATTGATGTCTTCTGTCACAAGGTGAATGAATTTGCAGGCAGTGCTGGAAGCCCTGAAGTTGCTACGAGTTCTGCAGCTTCGCGAAAAAGATTCTGTAGACTTCGCTCCTGCGCTTGCGTCGGGGCTATGTGCATGGGGTCCGAATGGAAGTTTTTGTGCAGGCCTGTGACTTCGTAAACTCCACAATTTTCTCAGACATTACTGCAACCAGTCCCTTAAACCCCTTAGACTCTAAAACCTCGGTTTCGGGCTTTTCAATGCAGGGCCTTAGCCTAAGCGCCCAAGTTCATTCAGTTCTGGGCGCTACAGGGTGCCTTAAGTCAACCCCATAAGGCAGTCTAGCGTTGCTTGCTGTGCTTGTTGCTGCGAACAGGCAAAAAAACACCTCGGCTTCTATCCAGGACCGAAGCCAAAGGACGTCCCCTAACTTGTGCTTGTGCAACAGTTTCGGGTTAACGGCAGGGCGCTTGAGGGTGTTTGGGGAGACTAAGCTGAATCCCGTGCTTTCATCCGCGTGCGAAGCTGTTACACAAACTCCATGGTTTCCTTGCTCAAGGTTTGGTCGCAGCAATAGACGTGGCGTGGTCGCCAATGAGCCATAGGATCCGGAGCATATGAGCGGTACTGCACCTTAGGGCTTTTCGCTTATGGAGGCAATGCCCCGGGCGGCCCGAAAGTGTGCAAAGCTTCCTCGATGAAAGTAGCATGCGTAGCAATCAATCGTTTCTCGCGACACCGATATCCAAACGGAACCTGGACTTCCATCGAGGTGCTGCTGAATCCTCGAATCGGACTGCGTCGCGACATGCAAAACATGGTCGGGAAACGGAACCATGCCATGACTGGAGGCAGGGTGTGGATTGAGGGCGATGCAAGAACTTCTATCGAAAAAGTGAGCAAAAATGACAAAGTTCGTGAGCTCAAAGGTTCATGGCTTGACATTCATGACTCATGACCAACGTCTTTCAACGCACGACGCTTTCGTAAAATTGAGCCACATGAAGGTCTTTTGTGGGCGCTGGCGGCATACACGCCGCAATCGTTTCGACGCTGCTCCGATGAAGTTTGTTCACAGCTGAAAGAACTCGAATTGCCATGTTGCGAAAACAAGCAATGAAACTTGCTTCTAAAGCCACGTGGAACTCGCTCGAAGTCAGGCCGAGCTGGCAAACTCCGACCCCGCCAGGCCACACCATGGCCCAAAAGATTTTGCGCGCATTTTACGGGCACTTTTGACCCTTCTAAAAGCCAGCCCTAAGCCCTCAGGACCGCGTTTTGGAACGAGGTCCTGCCAAATCAGGGAGGAAGGACTTGCCCCAACAACCAAACAGCCAGAGGCCACGCCACAACAGAGGCCAGTTTTGAAACACAGATACAAGAGAGAGAAACAAGTGCAGATGCAACAGGTGTAGATGCAAACAAGTGTGTGACTCATTTGAAACACTTCCGAATTGACTCATTTGCAACACTTCCAAAGTGACTCATTTAAACACTTCCAAAGTAACTCATTTGAAACACTTTCCAAGTGACTCATTTGGAAGTGACTTATTTGACTCATTTGAAACGCTTCCAAAGTGATTATTTAAGACACTTTTGAAGTGACTCATTTGAAACACTCGAAGTGACTTATTTGAAACACTTCCAGTGACTCATTTGACACACTTTCCAAGTGACTATGTGAAACACTTGACTGATTTGAAACACTTGGGAAGTGACTTATTTGAAACACTTCCGAAGTGTTGTGAAACACTTCCGAGTGACTCATTTGAAACACATGGGAAGTGACCCCTTTGTTATACTTCCAAAGTGACTTATTTGCAACACTTCCGAAGTGACTCAGGAAAAAAACTTTCCGAGTGACTCGTTTGGAAGTGACTCATTTGACTTATTGTCACTTGGGAAGTGTTTCAAATAAGTCACTCGGAAGTGTTTGAAATGAGTCACTAAGTGTTTTACATTTTAATGAGATTTACTCAAATTAGCCACTTTGGAAATGTTTCAAATGAGTCACTTCGGAAGTGTTTCAATTGAGTCATCTCGAAAGTGTTCCAAATGAGTCACTTCCAAAGTGAGTTCTTGGAACACTTCCAAAGTGACACTTTTGAAAAACTTTCAATTTTCTATTCTTGTATGTGGAGTCTCTCGTGTCTTCATGTTTTTGGGTTTGTTTTTTAGGTGTTTAAGTGTTTGGGTTTTGGTTGGGTTTGGGTTTTGGGTTTTGGGTTTTGGGTTTTGGGTTTTTAATTTTCGTACACAAGCAGAATGGACTTCAAAGGCACCAATTTTAAGTGTACAAGCAGAATGGACTTGAAAGGGAAGCACACAAGCAGAATGGACTTGAAAGGCACGAATTTGAAGTACACAAGCAGAATGGACTTAAAAGACACCAATTTAAAGCACACAAGTAGAATGGACTTAAAGGCCAGTTTTGGGGTTGTGTTTTGGGTTGTGTTTTGGGTTGTGTTTTGGGTTGTGTTTTGGGTTGTGTTTTGGGTTGTGTTTTGGGTGTTGTTTTGGGTGGTTTTGGGTTTTGGGTTTTGGGTTTTAGGTTTTGGGTTTTGTTTTGGGTTTTGGGTTTTGTTTTGGCTTTGGGGTTTGGGTTTTGGGTTTTCGTTTCGGGTTTGGGGTTTTGGGTTTTGGATTTTGGGTTTTGGGTTTTGGGTTTTGGTATTTGGGTTTTGGGTTTTGGTTTTGGGTTTTGGGTTTTGGGTTTTGGGTTTTGGGTTTTGGGGTTTGGGGTTTTGGGTTTTGGATTTAGGATTCAGATTTTGGAATTTGGAATTTAATCCTAATTGAAAGTTTCTTTGATTATGAATTATAGATTTCCCTTATATTTCTGAATACTTTTGAAAATTTCAAATTTGATTATGAATGATTTGGATTTTGGGTTTTTAGGCTTTAATTTTTTTGGGCTTGAATTCCAGGTTTTCCTTTATTTCTAAATATAATTGAAAACCTCAATTTTAATAATGAATTATAGGGTTTCCTTTTATTTCTGAATATAATTGAAAACCTCAATTTTGATAATGAATTATATAGCTTTTCCTTTTATTTCTAAATATTTTTGCAAACCTCAAATTTGATAATGAATTGCAGATTTTAAAAAAGAAATAGAGAAGAGGTTTTTTTCTATATCTCTGCAATTGGTATAGAAAAAAGGTTTTGTCTGTATCATTTATCCAAGGTCACGAATGAATTGGCGATATTAAAGAAAAAAGAATTAATAAAAACCAAATCAAATTCTAGAATTTTGGAACTTCAGAAATTTCTGGAATTCCAGAAAAAAATTTTAGAATTCCAGAAATATTTCTGAAATTCCAAAATTTTTTCTGGAATCCCAGAAATATTTCTGAAATTCCAAAAAATCTTTTTGGAATTCCAGAAATTTGTTAGAAATTCGAAAAATCATTTTTGAAATACCAGAAAAAATTTTCTGAAATTCCAGAAATATTTCTGAATATGCAGAACTATTTCTTGAATTCAATATCAAAATGGAATTTAATATTCTTTCTGAAATTCCAAAAAAAATTCTGAAAATCCAAAATTTTTTTTGAAATTCCAGAATTTTTTTGAAAATTCAAAAAAAATTCTGAAAAGCCAGAATTTTTTCTGAAAATCCAGAATTTTTTCTGAGAATCCAGAAAATTTTCTGAAATCCCAGAAAAATGACAATTTTCATAAATCACGCCCTTAAGTTAATACAATAGAACTGAGTTAAATCTAACTAAACCCTAAACCCTAAACCCTAAACCCTAAACCCTAAACCCTAAACCCTAAACCCTAAACCCTAAACCCTAAACCCTAAACCCTAAACCCTAAACCCTACCCTAAACCCTAAACCCTAAACCCTAAACCCTAAACCCTAAACCCTAAACCCTAAACCCTAAACCCTAAACCCTAAACCCTAAACCCTAAACCCTAAACCCTAAATTTTAGAGCTGCGCTAACTGCGCCAGTGAAGTTGGTCTTTTTTTTTGGTTTGTCCCGAACTCTTTCTCCTTTCATACTTCTTCAATTTACTTAAACCTCTTTTAGGTCCATAGGTTCAATTTACTTAAAGCTCCCTAAACCCTAAACCCTAAACCCTAAACCCTGAACCCTAAACCCTAAACCCTAAACCCTAAACCCTAAACCCTAAACCCTAAACCCTAAACCCTAACCCTAACCCTAAACCCTAAACCCTAAACCCTAAACCCTAAACCCTAAACCCTTAAAAAACTACACCTAAAGCTAAACCCTAAACCTACACCCTAAACCCCTACAACCCTAAACCCCTAAACCCTAAACCCTAAAAACCCTAAACCCTAAACCCTAAACCCCTAAAACCTAAAACCCTAAACAGTAAACCCTAATACCCTAACCCTAAACCCAAACCATAAACCTAACCTAAAACCCTGAAACTCCGGAACCCCAAGCCCTTGTAAAACCTAAAACCCTCTAAACCCCTAAACCCTAAACCCTAAACCCTAAACCTAAACCCTAAACCCTAAAACCAACCCCTAAACCCTTAAACCTAAACCCTAAACCCTAAACCCTAAACCCTAAACCCTAAACCCTAAACCCTAAACCCTAAACCCTAAACCCTAAACCCTAAACCCTAAACCCTAAACCCTAAACCCTAAACCCTAAACCCTAAACCCTAAACCCTAGGCCTAAAAACCTAGGCCCAAAACCCTTAGGCCCAAACCCCTTCAGCCCAAAACCCTTACACCCAAAACCCTAGGCCCAAAACCCTAGGCCCAAAACCCTAGGCCCAAAAACCTAGACCCAAAACCCTAGGCCCAAAACCCTCGGCCCAAAACCCTAGGCCCAAAACCTAGGCCCAAAACCCTAGACCCAAAACCCTAGGCCTAACCCTAGGCCCAAAACCCTAGGCCCAAAATCCTAGGCCCAAAACCCTAGGCCCAACACCCTAGGCCCAAAACCCGAGGTCCAAAACCCTAGGCCCAAAACCCTAGGCCCAAAACCCTAGGCCCAAAACCCTAGGCCCAAAACCCTAGGCCCAAAACCCTAGGCCCAAAACCC